CACTTTAGATTTGTTTCCTTTGCTGTTCTTTTTGCATTCTTTTTGCATTTTCTTACTCTTAAGGAAGGTATTTATAAATCTTTTAAAATATTATATTTTACTCCAGAGATGTTTTGCGTGTAGATACAATAGCACATGCATTCTAAGAGTCTCAATTCCTTCCTCCTTTCTTCCCTTCCTTCCTTGCTTCCTTCCTTCCTGCCTGTCTTTTTCTTTCTATTTTTAACAAGATAATTGAAGAGAATTATTCTGATTAAAGTTTTAATATGCAGTGATTTTTCACTATGAAGCCCTGAAAAGTGTTAAATGGCAATATCTTGAAATTGTAAGTAAAATATTAGCAGTAGCACATTCCCTTTGGGTGTGTGGTCATTGCAAAAACAACATGGCACTTGTTGGTGGAAGTGTTTTTAAATGCCCACAGATCCCGTCACACTAAAAGAACAATTCTGTGTCTATTTCCTTCTAGTATAAGTTCATGCTCTTATAAACTTGAAATCACAGTGCATGTGTCTGGGTGTGTGCTATTTGGCTAAGAGAAATACCATAATTTACCTATCCTAATCATTTCCCTGTTAGACTTCTAGGTTGACTCTAAATTTTTGTTATTGTAGAAAATGTTATAATAGATTTTTCAACTATATCAATTTTATTCATGTAGAATTATTTACTTATGATAAAATAATGTTAGAGGGAATACTAACAAAATAAGTTTTAAAAAACTGATATGGGCATTTAACTCTTTACTGCTTTTACTTTCCAAAAAGGTATGTGTATATATGTGCATAAAACATAGCAATATATATTTTAGAATTTTATCTGTAAATGAATATGCTAAAGATATGCTTTTTATTAACTTAAATTAATTACCTAGTCAAGCATATACACACCAGAATTAACTATTACCAATCTCTCCTTCCTTACCATAATCAATCAAGAGGCATGATTTTAATGTTCAGGGTTCAATTTAAAAGAAAAGCTTCCATTCAAGGCCATTATGAGTTATTGCTTATGGTAAAATTATTAAATGGCCATTAGTTCCCAGTCTTGCCAATTAAGCTTTATTGCCTTCTAAAAATGGCTTCCTTGAATTTACTAACTTGTCTAGAGCTACAACCCACTAAATGTACTTGTCATATTTTTCTCAGTCATGGAATAACTGAATTAAGCATGCAACCATTATAAAAAACAGACAAGAAAATTACTTGTCTTGCAGCAGGTGGAGAGAACATCGATATCTATAGTCTACCAATTTGTCTCTACTACCCTCTAGTGGATTCATAGTCATACTATCCTTACAGCATTGCCTCCAATTAAAAATACGCACATAACAAATGCACGCACAAGTATATAGAGATTTATAAATTTCAGCTTTTATTGAGTTGTCCCAGAAGGAATTGTTGTTTAGCTGGCATTCTTGCTCCTTTCTCTTCCCACATTAATCCTTCCTAAAACGTACTGTAGGATTTATCTGTTTAAAGCAGAATGTTATCCTATCACTCCCCTGCTCAATCCAGTGAAAAGCGTTTAGTCCCTCTATTTGGATGTCTGAAGTGCTGCTGGTAAACTTTCCTAAGGTACTTCCAAAACTCTTCACAATAGGAATCCAACTCTCCTTTCTGCTCTTCTATCCCTTTACCTCCTATTCCCCTCTCCCTCCAGCCAAATCCCAGCTTCATGTTCTCCAAGCTTGTGCTGTTTTTCCTCCTCTGCCTAAAATGCCACCCATCTAGTCATATCCACCCCACCAGCTTCCTTCTTCCATTTCTGTTTGCAAATGTTGTGCTCACATTTCAAGAGTTATTTCAAATGCACCTTTTGTTCAGTTTTACGAAGCTCCCTTCGTCAACCCCACACAAACCAGCTGCCTCTCACACTGCAGTTCTAGTGCATACATCGCCTTTGCCTGGATGCTCTATGGGGGCTCCTCTCCTTCAATTTCCATTTACATTGACATCGGCTTTCCCTCCCAGTCCAACGCAAGGGGCGCATCATTAATGAAACCTTATCTGCCTCCTCCAGAGTTTTTTTCCTCTCTCCCCGGTGACTCCGTAACAGTTTACACAAGTCTGCGTTCCAGTACCCATCACCAGGGCTGTTTCTGTGAGAGACAGTGATCAACATGATGAGGAAAAATTGTATGTGCTTATTGTGGGCTAGGCATTGGTCTAAATAAATGTTGCATGGATGACCTCATTTTATGCTCAAAACACCACCAACTGGATACTATTATTATTGTCATTTGAAGAAAAGAGGCATAGAGATATGAAGTGACTAACTCAAAGTCGCAGATAAGGGCAGGAGCCAGGATTTAAAAGGATTTGAGCCCAGACAGTCCCCGGACCCTCAGCTTGTAACTACTGAGATGGCACAGCCATGCAAAGAGCTCTTGGTCAGGATTGCACTCGCTGCTTGAATGGCTCTCCTTCCTCGCTTCTCATTTTGAGTCTGTGCTTTGGGAGTGGCTGTAAAAAGAGTCAAATATGATTCCTGGGTTAGAAAGAAGTTTTTGTTTTGTCTTGTTGAATAAAGAGGTCTGCTTTTCTCTTTGAAATTTTTTTCTTTCTACATGTTTTCCCATCTAGATTCTGAAGCTTTGGAGGGCAGGCTTGTGTCGGATTCTTGTTCATATGCCCATTATTTAAACTAGTGCTTGGAACATAATAAGAGCTCATAAAGTTACCAAATGTCATTGGAACAGCAGATAGCTTTCCCTTTTTGTCTTACCAGCATGTGATATTACTTTACAAGTTGATACTTGTTTTAAAGTACCAGCTGAAGGCAGATACTAAATTAATTAGCATAAAAGAAGTATAATCATTTGGTGTATTTTTCTTATCTTGGCCCCTCATCTCAATCTCAATGAGGACAGATAGTCTAATCTATCTCTGTATCTTTAGTAGCCCCCAAATAATGCAAGGCAAACAGAAGACAGTCACATATTTGGTAAGTGGAACCAAAAGAGCTTTTCTGTCATACTTGAGTATGACATCACTGGTATAAAGTGGTACACAGACAAGATCCAGATAACTCATGTGTCCAAGGAGGCCCTCAGGAACTACAAGACTCTGAAGTGCCTGGTTTCATTTTTGAGGAAAGAGTAAATTATGTTCTGTATCATTTTAGCAGTAGGAGGATGTTATTGCAGCCTCACTCCTTGGAATTTGTCAATTATAGCAAACATTTAAAATGAAGCATAATATTTCATAACAGGAAACCCCAGGCCTGTATCACTCGAGATGACAGTTTATTGAGTTATTAGAACTTCATTTGTGTAATACCACTGGCAAATGAAATTTTATGTTAATTCCTTAACTTACTGATTAAGTAAATTACTGTAGGTGCCTTAACTTATTTAACATTGAGATCTAGTTAAAATCCATTGCCCTGGTTCACTGGCTGACTTTATAAAGAAAAAGATTTAAAGAGTTACTTCTCACTATAAATTTTTATTTCTGGCCGAAGGGCCTATCTGAGGCATAACCAGTATTGTGATAAAATTTAAGGGACATTATAAAACCACAAAAAATATAAAAAAATACTTCAGAGATTCAACTAAGACAACAGTCCTGATAATTTCAACAGCCCTATTATTTCTCCTGGCTCCAAAGTTTATAATTGTCTGCAGTTTCAGAGTTAGATTTGCTATGAACCTAATGAAGTACCAAGGTCCTGCCTTTGCAAAGGCCTCTTCCAGGGCTCTGAGAGTGTGTTCACATGGTCATATGTTCTTGTAAAATGCATCAAGTAAGACATATTAACCACACTTTCTTAAGGCTGTTTCTTCCCACTTCAACTCTCCTCCAGTCACATTTCCCCGCCTGTGCAGTGGTACTGGTGGGACCATGACATTGCTGGGATTTAGCTCTGGAGAAGTTGAGTCAAGGATACATTTTGTTTAGAATTAGTGATATCTATTAAGTATTTATTCATAGCACTTCCATATTTCGCCAGTACTCCTAATACAGGAACAGCTTCTGGAAATACTCCTTCCACCCACTCTGATTCTCCTGACATCTGGAAATAAAGGTACAGGGTCAGAGATCTTATCTGAACCACAAGTGAGTGAGTACTGGGTAATAGAGGAGAAGCTAACCTGCAGGAAAGCCTTCCAATTATTATATGTATAAAATCATACCATTACCTCATCTAACCTGTACTTCCTTTGTATCAGGAAAACACTTGTCACACAGCATGAACAATCATAAATGCATCAAACATTTTTGTGTTTTAAAGAACATTTAAAATTCTGAAGTGAAATATTAAAAAATTTAAAAATGTAAGATTTTGTTTTAATTTTTAAATAAAAAATTTAATATAAGAAAGTGAAGAAAAGCAAAGTGCAGTATACATACACATATTTGGAAATTTTTCTTCATATTGTTGAGTTTTCCATTATCTACTTAAGGTAACTGAAATGTGCTCCTTCGGCCCAGCCAGAAAATCACCCATTTAGAAAAGATAAATACACACTAGCTTTAAATACTTGCAGTTAAGGTAATGGAAACTGGATGTAAAGGTAGCATCACTTTTGTGATGAGCTATTTTACTTCAATAAATCTTAACTGTGCCAAAGCTGGGAGGGAAAAATCCCGACCCACCGTGAAGAGTAGATTTTCGGCGACTAGAAACAGTAGGACGACGCCCTCCGGAGATAAAAGAAAGCGCTTGCGCTCAGACTCAGTTGGCGCCCGTTCTTCTGCTTTTTCTCCAGCCGCCGTTTCCTCTTTCTTTCGCGCTCTAGCCACTCGGGAAGTCCAGCCCAAGCGTGGCTGAGCTCCGATTGGATCCTTTGAAAGTGTACGGGCTATCTGATTGGTGGATCGAAGGCCCTTTAGCGCGGCGAGTTTGAAACTGCTCGCACTTAGCTTCGAAGCTGGCTCTCGGAAGTTTAGAGAGAGCGACGGGGACGTGGTTCGCCGGCGCTGCTTTCGCCGCGGGATAAGAAGCCGGTAGAGTTGCTAGAGGCAGAGTCGTGCCTACGGGGCAAAGGCCGTATGGGGGGCCTCGGCGGGGGTGTTTTTAGGAACCAGAGATTTTTAGGAGGCCACGTTGGGCTGCAGGGGTCTGCATGGGGCCAGGCGGGCCTGCCCCTTGGGTCCCGGGCCTGGGCGTGTGAGCGACGCCGGGGCCCGGCCGCTGAAGGAGGCTGGGGGGAGCCCAGACTTGGAGGGTTCACTCCAGAGAGGGCTGGGCCCGGCCTGGCCGCGGAGTTGCTGTCGGGGGTTGCGGCCGTCTGTGCTCGGGAAGAGGCGGCTGTCCGTTCGTGGTTGAAGCAGGTGGGTGCACCGCCTTGACTCCGAGTGCCTGCAGTGTCTAGGCCCTGCGGCTCCGGACTGTCTCCTGTGCACTCTCCTCTCGCCTCCAGCAATGGAAAGCAAGACTGCAGCTGGGCCAGGTACCAGGCCAATCCCCAAACCAGGCGGTCCCGGAAAACCCATGCGATGAAACTAACCTGGGGTCCATCTCGGGCTTCTGTCAGTGCCCATGGCCCTTGTTCACCGCGATTTTTAAAGAACAGTCATAGTCAAAGGGAACTTGAATTGTTTCTCATTTTTATTTTACGCTTGGTGGTTCTTACATATATGGAATTGGCAAAAAGTAGAAAGCTAAGAAATGCAGATACATATGTGTGCGTCTTAATATCACTTTAATCAATTTTTATTTAATATTAAAGTACTAATGTGCACATCTCGTTTCCTACAAAACTACGGAGGTTTTCGTGGGCAGATTAATTAAACCATTGGTATCTTAATCCGCATCTAGTAGTATTGAGCCCCAAGAGGCATTCAAAGGCATTCTAAAGCTGCATCCTTTACTTAAAATTCCTTGTCACAGGAAAATGAAAAGGAGGGTAATTGAACCCAGCTTTGAAATTGAATTAGCTTTCAGCTATTTGTTCAAAGTGAGCACAACAGTTTAATTGTGCTTTAGGCATATTAAATAGGGATGTTGAAGAAAAGATAATCATCCTAAACGTCCATTGCCATTTAGTAAAATAAAACATTTTTAAGATTGGCGGTGTAGTGCAATTTTGCTAATTTAAAAATATCTCTTCTTATTTCTGGAATGATTTTGAAGATGAAAGTAGGAAATAGAACTTCAAGGTCGTGACTCAGTGACCTTCTTACCAGCAAGGAGTGTGTTAGAAAGTCAGGTAATTATGCTTTGGGCTTCTGAAGTTGTTTCACAGGCAAACTTACCAGGTGAGGAAGGCTTGAGTATTTGGTTCTCAGCATTTCAGCTCTTTTTAAATATTCTTTGTGATTCCAGCATATGGTTTTTTACCTTGTTCTTGACATTGTGCAGGGTCTAATTAGAATTCCATCTGTGGAATTTCACCTTTTCTTTTAGGGTGCTAAGTGATAGTTCCTGCTCTTTCAAAAAGTACCTTGAAGGTAAGGTCTTCATGTTTGTGTATGTGACTGCTAAAAGCAGGAGAAAGATTAAAGCTGTCACTGAAGCAAGTTTAAACACTCAACATTCTTTTGCTACTTTAAACAATCTTTCTAATAGGTGAGCAGTGTGACCACATTTTAGCTCCCTACTCTTGTCTTTAAAAGTTGTTTCTTTTGAATTAGCTTCATAAAAATATGATAAAGCAGTACGAATTCAGTCAAAAACCATTTTTTGGAATATTTGGGTATAACTCTGGCACACACTGGTGCTCCTTAGAAGTGTTTGAAGAGTGCATTCTTCTGTTGTTTGGGAAAGATAAATAACCTAATGTCTGAATTTGAGGGTTAATTTAGAAGAAGCTAAATACTAAACCAGTATAGGATATACAAATATATCCAATATTTTAAGTTAAGGAAAATGGGAAAATTTTTTTGTGTCTTTTTTCCCCTTGCAAGTGTTCTTTTAATATAATAGCTAATACTTATGGAAAATAAATACTACTCTAGGCACTCTGGAAATGCTTTGCATGTAGTATTTCATTAACTTAAAACCACCCTTTGAGTTAATGGCATGTAATCAGATCGATTTTTCCTCTCATTTTAGGGTTTACTATACTGATAAACTATGGAAGACTATACCAAAATAGAGAAAATTGGAGAAGGTGAGTGGTTTTAATAAAACTTTTAAATGTGATTTAATGTTGTTATAAAAGGTCTATGAAATGAAGAGATGTAAATATTAAAATCCAAAATTTTAAGGTGTCTTACAGTAGTAATGTGCATTAATATATATGTTCTTTACATAATAAATACAAAAGTATTCATATTTCAAGAGAATTGAAATTATTCTGATAAGACTTCCTGACAACCTTTGACCCCCATAGTCTTACATTCTTCTAATACTAAACACTTAAAGCAATGTTTGTAGTTTGAAAACTATTGATATCTTGTATGTGTTGGGGGAAGAAAGTTAGGTTAAACCTTAGGTTTAAATGACCTCTCAATGTATACATGTTAAAGATGGTCTAAAACTAGTAATTCTTCTATGTAATCATTCTCTTTCTGCAGCAAGTTCGTTAGTTTTAAAAGATTGTTTCTATCTAAGTGGCATAAATGAGGTTTAAAAATCCCTGCACCTTTTCTGTGTTTTTTCCAACAGTATCTAAGTTTCTACGTATAGGAGTCTTGATACTATCCTTCTGAACTCTCCAGAAACAAATGATACAATTTATAGGGGTCCTCGTTTATGTAGGGTCAGTTTGAGGAACATTTCCAACTTATTTTTAGTGTGCTTCAAACCCTACTTGTACAAGGAATACTACTAAAAAGCCAGGGGAGGAGTACTGGAAGGAATTTAGTAAGATAGTAATGACAGCTGTGGGTGGTGGTTGGGTTGGAGATATATTCTTTTTTTGTTTTTAATTTACAAGTTATACATGATTTCTTTTTTGGAAAAAAAAATACTATGTCACACCCATTCAACTAAGCTAATTTTGCTAGTGAGTTAAGTATTTTAAGTTTAATAGCATATCTAATGTCTTCTGCTTTGTAGTTTTTCTTCAATCCCCAGAGAATTTAATGAGTTGATTTTAGTTTGGAACAAAAAGAGGCATTCTTCAAGTGTAAGTGCCTTTTCCTTTAAAACTCTGAAACTTTAGACATATCGGAGAGTACAGATTTGACTCCTGTACTCTTAATTGCTACAAAAAATAGAATCAATTAAGAATATAATTTCAAGTACGTAGAATGGAATCACAAGACCCCCATTCTTCTTCAGGGGGATGGCCGTACCCCTTTTGACTTCTCTGTATCTCAGGTTCTGTCTCTGCATATGGAGATAATTGTGCTTGCCACACAAATTATGATTATACAGTTGACCCTTGAACAATAGAAAAGTTTTTGGAGATTTTGCAAGAATTTGGAAAAAAGTTTTTCTTTAGCTTACTTTATTATTGTAAGAATACAGTATACAATACATATAACATACAAAATATGTGTTTGTGTTATCAGTAAGGCTTCCAGTCATCGGTAGACACTTAATAGTTAAGTTTTGGGGAGTTAAAACTGCCTGGGGGTTGTTAAATCTATCCCCAGGTGGTCCAAGGGTCAACTATAAAATGATAGTATTTGGAAAGCATTTATTTGAGTGAACTCAGAAAGCCATCAGATGTTAACTTTATTATTTCTATGACTACTGTTTGCATAACTATCAACATCGTAGCCCTCTTACTAGTCTCATTTAATGCCACAGAACTCTAAATGTGGATTTCTTTGGTGTCCTTGCATGTATGCTCTATTCTTTGACCTGTGGGCCTTTGACAATGGCTATTCTTTCACTGGGAAAGCCACCTTGTACTGGCTTCATTTTTCATCTCCTTGCTCTAGTCCAAGTGCATTTTGCAGCTCCCTTTTCATTATTATCCTTAATATTTTTTTTCTTTTGTTACAGTGTAAACCCCAATAGGGTTGGGATTTTGTCTTGTTCACAACTGTTTAACCAGGGCCTGTCAGTAGTGTCGCCCACATAGGAGATGCTCAAATGTTTAGTATTAACATTATCTGTTTTTATTCTTTATGTGTTTTTCTGAAATCTGTTGTTCCTTCTGTTTTTGGTTTATTTTTTGTTTGGCTACTCTGATGCCTGGCTGTTTGGATTATGTGTTGGACATTGTTTTTGAAAAAGTAACCTGTAGAAATAATTTAAGGCCTAGATAAGTTCCACATAGTATTTTCTTTTGCTTTTGCTGGATGCTTGGTCAAATTCTAGCATTAAAGTACTGACTTTAAAAGTTATATTTTTCTCCCTGAACTTTTTATTTTGAACATTTCCAAATGTACAGAACAGATAAAAGATTTATATAAGGAACCTATATCAAGATATTAGTGTTGTGTCACATTTACTTTATTATTTCTGTGTGTGTGTTTTAGCATTTTGTTTTCCTTTTGACCCATTTAAAATAACTTGTAGAAATGTGCTTTATGTCTAAATACTTAGGCATAAACCTTCTGAAGATCTAGCCAAGGTCATGTATTTCATTTGGTGGTCAATGTCTCCTTAATTTCTTCTAATTTAGAATAGTCCCTTGACTTCTTTTTCCCTTAGCAGTTTTTTGACCACCCAGTTCCTTTATTTCTTAAATACATCCAGACTTTGCTTATTTAATTACTACAAAGTTCTCTGGTTTCATCTGAATTACAAAAATCTGAGTGTTGTCACATTAGTCTTTGAACTCTTTCCTGTCTTAAGAAAATGTCTTTTTGAATCAGAGAGTAGCTATATCTGTGATGTGGAATCTTACTTGTCATTTGGCAGGCACTCTAACATTTGTTGATTAGAGGTTTTCTGCTTAACATAGCAATATTTTAAAAATTTTATAGCGTTTAGTTCATTTCAGAGCACATACCATGTACCAACATACCTCAGAGATATCGCAGGTTTGGTTCCAATGAATATTTTGGTTTTCCAGTACATATAAAAGTTATGTTTGTACTATACTGTAGTCTATTCAGTGTGCAATAATAGCATTATGTCTAAAAAATATGTTTATACCATAATTAATATATTCTTTATTGTTAAAAATGCTGCTCATCATCTTAGCTTTTGGCCAGTTTAGTCACTGATTACAGATCGCCATAGCAAGTATAATAATAATAAAAAAGTTTGAAATACTGTGAGAATTACCAAAATGTGGCATAGAGACATGAAGTGAGCACATGCGGCTGCAAAATAGTGCTAATTCAGACTTGTTCCATGCAGGGTTGCCACCAACCTTCAATTTGTGAACAGTGCAATATACGTAAAGCGCATGTGTGTATCTCATAAATAATTTTTGGATATTAACCAGTAGAACCATACTGCTCTGTTAAACTCAAGCTCTGTTCCAGTAGCTCAGTGAGAAGTAATGGTTCAAAAAGAGTTAGAAAGAAAAGAGGTGTATAAAGTCCTTGCGACAGTGAAATTCAATTCAATATTGGGTGTTGGCTGTAAGTTAAATCAGTTGATATGAGTAAATTTTAGGACCTGATGAGGTTGTGCACTTGAGGGAGGTAAGAATACTAGAAAAAAAATTAGTTCTGAGTTTACCATTAACTGCTTATTTTGACTGTATTATGCAAATTACTTATTTTCTTGAGTGTTCTTAACAGTGCCAGATTGGAGTGTGCTTACTACCTACTTTTGCATTTTGTAAATTATACATTAGAAAAATGTACAGATTTTAAGGGTACAGAAGGTTACCTACTTTCATGGATGGTTGAGATAAAATAAAATTATTGTTTTTTAATCTGGAATAGTTTTTGTTATCCAAAAGTCAGTTAATCCAAATTTAATCAAAATAATATAAAACCTACTTTATGTCACATAATATCTTTAGAATGATACCAGTATTTAAGAAGACAAAGATTATTGTAGAGAAGAGACTCTCTCCTTAGAAAAGTGTACTCTTAATAACTTCTATACTATGTCATGGAAAAATAGCAAAAGCTTTAATTTTTATGTGTAGTGAAGGTATTCAACATCTCCCTACATTGTCTAATACGAATTTAAAAAGCACTTACCTAGGGGATAAAGTGTATGATGTATATGAACTTGTGTTAGCTAGCTAGTTTAGTGCCGTTATCGTTGACATTTTTGTTCCTTGTATCTACCCCGATGCTTGTATCCACCCCTTGAATTGACATTACTCCATATCTGCAGCCCATATGTGAGAAATGGTGTTCTCATCAACTTCTGAATAAGTGTAAGGCTTTGCTACCATGTAGTAGATAATGTGAACTTTAATATTTAATAAAATATCCCATTTTTTGAATGAGGATTATTGACTATATATTTGAATGTATGAAACACTCTATACAGTTTTCTGAAAGTGTCACAGTGTGATTTTTTTTTAAGGTATCATTGATATACAATTTTATGAAGGTTTCACATGAGCAACATTGTGGTTATTACATTCACCCATATTATCAAGTTTCCCCCACACCCCATTGCAGTCACTGTCCATCAGTGTAATAAGATGCTACAGTCATTATTTGTCTTCTCTGTGCTGTGTACTGCCTTCCCCATGAGCCACCTATATTATGTGTGCTGATCATAATTCCCCTTAATCACTATCCCTTTGGTAAGCGCTAGTACCTTGGAATCTGAGTCTACTGCTGTTTTGTTCCTTCAGTTTTGCATTGTTATACTCCACAAATGAGTGAAATTATTTGGTACTTGTGTTTCTCTGCCTGGCTTACTTCACTGAGCATAATACCCTGTAGCTCCATCCACATAGTTGCAAGTGGTAGGATTTGTTTTCTTGTGGCTGAGTAGTATTCCACTGTGTATATGTATCACATCTTTATCCATTCTTGCATGTACTGGTGGACACTTAGGTTGCTTCTCTATCTTGGCTATTGTAAATAGTGCTGTGATACACATAGGGGTGCATATATCTTTTTGATTCTGGGATTTTGTTTTCTGTGGGTAAATTCCTAGAAGTGGAATTCCTGGGTCAAATGGTCTGTTTTTAGTTTTTTGAGGAACCTCCATATTGCTTTCCACAATGGTTGAACTAATTTACATTCCCACACAGTGACTTCTTTTAGTATTATTTCCTGAGCCCAAATCTTTACATTATATTTTATGTCTACCTTATTGTCAGGTATGATATTTGACAGGAAATATATTCCAATTTGCAAAGGATATGTTTTCTTTTCTAAATTGTGCTGACAATTTGCTGGCAATTTAAATGTATCAGAAACCTGTGATAACTACATGAATTTTATTTCTAAACTACAGACGTGATAGGTTGTAGTTACCCTCAATTTCTTTCTGGAAGTGATGAGGGTATAATTATGAGAAAGATACTTCCTATATGGCAAGTTTCCGTATAGGAAGTATCTTACATATCTTATTTCTATCATGTGACATCCTATGGGATTCAGTCACTTTTAAAAATCTTTTTAGTTTGTGGAAGGTGTTACATAGCAGACATGTACTTTGTCTATTTCAGGTACCTATGGAGTTGTATATAAGGGTAGACACAAAACTACAGGTCAAGTGGTGGCCATGAAGAAAATCAGACTAGAAAGTGAGGAGGAAGGGGTTCCCAGTACTGCAATTCGGGAAATTTCTCTTTTAAAAGAACTTCGTCATCCAAATATAGTCAGGTATAGTATAATATCTGAATTTAAACCATTTTTTCATGTAACTATTTCAAATGTGAATTTCAATGTGGAAATTAATTTTGTTTACTTTCTGGTCTAACTGCTGAGCAGACTAGAACACTGATTAGTGTTCATTAAGTGGGAATGCTGGGCATAGGAAAAGTAGGCTGTTAAAGCAGAACAGAGTTAGAGGAACTTGGTGATAGAGATTTGGGGAGCTGAAAAATCAGTCACTGGCTAAGGGAGAAAAGGAAGTCCTTTTCACAGAGCTTTGTCACCTCTCTCACTGAGAGCTCTCTGGTCCTTGAAGACCCCTTAATCAGAGTTTTAAGATAGGTAGCTAGGTCAGATAAAAAATTAAAGATTTTTCTTTCTTTTAAGTATTTGGACTGGTTGTGAGGTTGTTGGGGTTGTGTTCCTGACAGTCCAAGTTAGGAGAAAATCCCATTTTTCAGGGGCTGGAGATAGTGATCAACTGTTAAGATCAGATAGTACTTTAACATTTATTTCTAAAATTTAGTTGCATTGGAAAGGAAAGCTCTGAGCAACAAGCTGTCAACCAAGAAATTCTTTTGGAATACATGTGGTTTGAGAGCACCTCCTGTATAATAAGACTTAATTTTCAATTGTTGCCCTGAGATTGCTTGTTCAGATTCTAGTTTAATAAGGACTAAGGTTTTCATTACTAGTGAAGCTACCTTCTCTTCTTTCCGAAAACATTGTATATTTGTTAGCATAAAAGATTTCTTATGGCCCCACTTTTTGTGATAGCCACTGTGAAATTTATGGAAGGTTTTTGTTGAGAGGTCAAAATGTTTATTTCATTAGGTTTTTTTTTTTCTCATCTAATTGTTGTATTCTTCAGTCTTCAGGATGTGCTTATGCAGGATTCCAGGTTGTATCTCATCTTTGAATTCCTTTCCATGGATCTCAAGAAATACTTGGATTCTATCCCTCCTGGTCAGTTTATGGATTCTTCGCTTGTTAAGGTAAAAAGCTTACCTAATTTTATTTGTATTTATCCACTGTGAATATAAAGGGTCTACTCTTTGGAAGTCCCTGTTTTTTGTGTAAGAATGCTTGGAAAGAGTGTTGGAAAGTAGAATGAGAAAGGAAAGAGTACTGCATTTTCTTCCTCCACAGTTGGTTTGCAGATTAGATTAACACAACCCATTTTATTACTAGACAGTGCTTCTAGTTGTAAAGTTAGAAGTAGTTCCTGAGATAACATAAAACTAATCAGTATGTATTATTGTTGGAAACCTAGGGTATTGAGGTCTTTTCTTGGCAGTCAGATCTATGTAAAGCAAAGTAAGTAACAAAAACTTGGGGCAGGATGATGGTTGCAAGTGGCTTTATTTTCTGGTTTTGAAGTACAGAGTGTATAGAGAGTCTTATCTTTAAACCAACTTTTACCAAACACCCCCAGAGGTAGCCGTTGTTAGTTTTATTGATGATCTTACAGATACTTGTATGTCAACTTTGTGTTTATACATACACTATTTTACAAAAATGGGGGTTATTTATAAATATATGTATCTCCATTATTTTTCCTTCTCCTATGTAAACCATTATTCCACATAAGTCTGTCTGTCTTTTTGTTAGAATTTTTTAAACCAGTTACATACTGAGGGACATTAAAATGCTTTTCCACATTGGCAATCCTTGCTCTAAATGAACAGTGCTTCAGTGAATATCCTTACCTTTATATATATATCTTACATATATATAAAATTATTTTTTAGTAAGGTATCAGTGATGAAGGTTTCACATGAAGGTTTCACATGAGCAACATTCACCCATATTATCAAGTCCCTCCCATACCCCACTGCAGTCACTGTAGAGTCACTACTTGTCTTCTCCATGCTGTACTGCCTTCTCCATTAGCCACCTACATTATGTGTGCTAATCACAATGCCCCTTAATCCCCTTTTCCCTCCCTCCCCACCTCTGTCCCTTTGGTGTAAGCACTAGTCCCTTCTTGGAGTCTGTGAGTCTGCTGCTGTTTTGTTCCTTCAGTTTTTCTTTGTTGTTATACTCCACAAATGAGTGAAATCATTTGGTACTTGTCTTTCTCTGCCTGGCTTATTTCACTGAGCATAGTACCCTCTAGATCCATCCATGCTGTTGCAAATGGTAGGATTTGTTTTCTTCTTAGGGCTGAATAATACTCTGCTGTGTTTACCCTTATGTATTTATCTTCACATGCAACTTTGTAGGATAAATTCTTACAACTGGATTCCATGGGTTGAAGATGTGTATTTACATTTCAAATCCTGATAGACAGTGCCAGTTGACCTCTTAAAAATTGTAGCAATTTACTCTTAAACATGATGGTGTATAAGTTATTTTTTAGTATCACTGCCCAAACCTCATTTTACCAATCTTTTAATATTTTATCAATCTATTGTGTGAAAAAGGGCATATTAATATTTTACATTTCATTTAAAATTTTTTCATCTTTAGCCATTTTTAGATAGACTATACATGTTCTTCATTGATGTTTCTGTTAGGATATTGATTGTCTTTCAGTAGTTTCTAAGATCCTCTTAATTGTAAAATGTTCATAATCTTTTTTTGGGGGTTCTTTTGACTTGTTATTGTGTATGCCATTAATAATTTTATAATATATTTAACAATCTTGTAAATGACTTTGGACTTTAAGCTTTTATGTCTTATTTAAGTCTCCCTCACTCAAAGATCATGTAAATTAGAACAATACGTAACAATATTTTTCTGGTAGGTTACCACACCTTGTTTTTGTTAACTTAAATTCTGGATGAATCAAAGGTTTATTTTGGTGTAAGGACTGGAGTTTTTAATTTTTTTCCAAATAGCCAGTTGTTCCAACCTGTTGATTTTATGTACTATATTGCAATACTGAGCTTTGTGAGTCAAAACTGTTACTATGTATACTTTATATTTCTGTAATATGTTTCTGCAGGTATCACCTACATTGTCTTGGCAACAAGTGTTTTGTAAGATACTTTTGTCTAAACTACTGAACACCATTTTAATAATTTTATCTATTAAATATGTAATCATAATATCTTCTTTGTCATTTCTTTTGGAATCTGTGACCAGTGTTTCCAAAGAAGAAATGAATATGTAAAGATAAAAGAAACAGGAGCGACCAATCATATTCAAGATAGAAATAGAGTTGTTATGAGTACATAGAACAAAGCTTTAAAAACTTTCTATACAGAAATCTAAGTGATGACTTAAGGGTCAGGGACCAAAATAAGTAAAAGAAGACTGAGTACATATGGCTATAGATGTGTCTACAAGGTGAATGTTTTTGTCTTAGTATGCAAACATGATACTGTATATAAATGGGCTTCCCAACCCTAAATGCTTCTTGTTAGTCTCAAATGGCCTGCAGCCTTTTTTGGTAGTTAATTTATTTCCCAGCATTATAATTTATTATATCTTTGAAACAAATCCACCAAGGTTATTTAGAAAATCATTATTCAGTACAGTTAAGTTTCAACTTAAATTTCCTTTTTCCAGAGTTATTTATACCAAATCCTGCAAGGGATTGTGTTTTGTCACTCTAGAAGAGTTCTACACAGAGACTTAAAACCTCAAAATCTTTTGATTGATGACAAAGGAACAATTAAACTGGCTGATTTTGGCCTTGCCAGAGCTTTTGGAATACCTATTAGAGTATACACACATGAGGTATGTAAAATAGTGTTTGGTGCTTTTCTGGGTGTGTGTGGTTGATGGATTGTTTCCTATTTCTTTAAGTCAAGAAAGAAATAATAAAAAAGATTCCCAGTCTGTTCCAGTATCTTTTTATTGCCTGTCAGCTCCAAACTCATCCTTCCTTGCAAGCTATGTGAAAATGTAACAGAACCTTTAAATATTTTGCCTTTGCCAGCTTGTGTAATGTTAAACTTTGTCAATAGAGGGTGCTGGAGAGGCATTGTGTGTGGAAGTTTTATTTCTTATTAGTCAGTATTTCATTATTCCAGCCCCTGTCATAGTTAATAATCTTTTATAGTAAACTTTCTCCATTCAAAACACTGTGTGGTTTCTGTCTCATGATCAGATCCTCTCTGATACACAATCAAATTGGTTAAGAGACAGGTTTTATTGTTTAAGTGGTATTGTTTCAGATACATTTAGAAGCTACTAAATATATCGAGTTTTGTCAGTGTTAATATTGATGAGTTGGAATTTCATTTGTTATTTCTGGAAGGAAAGGGAATGTTAAATTACATAGGAAAGGATTATTGGAAAACATTGTGTTCTGTGGAGTTGTCTACTCTTGAGCTCAAAGACTGTCTCCAGATCTCTTCATATCATACCTCTTTGTTGTTTTTCCCATGGCTGTATGAATAAAGATTATTTGGCTCCTGTTGGCTTAAACAGATGCTATTGACCTCAGTAACTTTTAAGTTAGAGGTGATATTTTTGCCATTCTAGTAAATTACATATATTAAAATAGTAACTTAATTCTATAGACCACTAATAAACTGTTATTTGACTTACTCCATATTATTAGCATGCAAGTAGTACATGCACTTTGTAGTGTCACCCCCAAATCCATTATCAATAGGCTTTTTTTTCTTGAAAAGTAAAGTCTGTCTTAACTATTTTGATTCTTACACTTGAATGATTTGAAAAGCAGGAAAAAACTTGATATGTTCTTGGCTTTTTTTAAAAATAGAACTTAGAAGTGAAATATTTATCTTCCACTTAATATTTTATGTAGAGTTGATTGACTTCTAAACAATACCAGAGACAGTCATGCAGGCTTCTAAAACAGTTCTGATGAAATATAAATGTTTAGGTAATTTAATGGGATACATTTATTCATTGTAAAAATTTGCTCTGTAATAGGTAGTAACACTCTGGTATAGATCTCCAGAAGTACTGCTGGGGTCAGCTCGCTACTCAACTCCAGTTGACATTTGGAGCATAGGTACCATATTTGCAGAATTAGCAACTAAAAAACCACTTTTCCATGGAGATTCAGAAATTGATCAACTCTTCAGAATTTTCAGGTATTTTTGTCTTCCTAAGCTGATAAGAACTTTTAAGCAACATTTATATAACAAGATTATATTTATGCTTTAGTAATTTTTTTTTTTTTTGCTTTGGCTTTTTAGAGCTTTGGGCACTCCCAATAATGAAGTGTGGCCAGAAGTGGAATCTTTACAGGACTATAAGAATACATTTCCCAAGTGGAAACCAGGAAGCCTGGCATCCCATGTCAAAAACTTGGATGAAAATGGCTTGGATCTCCTTTCGGTAAGGAGTGTCCCTTATGCTGACTTAAACATTATTGATGATTCTGAATGTATTCAATCCTTTCTTTTATCTGGGAAATAGGAAGAAAGCCAGCATATTGAACTAGGCACATAATTATCATACCTGTTATGCTTATTGTATTACTAACTCACTTTTAGATACCAAGAAACACTAGTGGTTTTAAGAGGATGATTAGCATTAGTTGTTTGTTTAATACGTAACTATAGATACTCTGAAGGAGAAGCCAGGGTTAATATACCTTTATTGTTTTTAAGTTGTTGACTCATACTGCCTTTCCTTCCCAGCTTTTTTGTCCCAGTATTGATTGCTTTTTAACAGCATCCCAGTCTTCTGCCCTATAGATGCTAGTAGCACATTCCTCCTAGTTGTGACAACCTAAAATGTCTCCAGTCCTTGATGAATGTCCCTTGAGGGGTAAAATCTCAGTCAGTTGAGAATCATTACCAAGACCTGGTTTCAAATTTCCACTTTATTATTCTTTAGGTCTATGAACTTGGGCAACTTGCTTAACCTCTTTGAGCCTCAGTGTCGTCATTTGTAAAATGGTACTAGTACCTACCTTTTGTGAGGATTAAGTAATGTATGTACTTAAAAACTAGATACACAGTAAGCTCAAATGGTAACTAGATAGTAAAAGTAGTCTGCTTATTGGTTTGGTTTCTTTAAGATAAATTTAAGATCAGTATTAAACTTTTTTCAGCTTTTTTTGGTGATGTGCAAATTAACTAGTGTTAGACTGTCTGACCATAATTCATTTAGTGATTCATTTTAACCATGTTTCTAATATATTGTGTTGCGGTTTTGTTTTTATTTGGAATTTGCTAGAAGCTACATTAGAAACCACTATAGTTAATTGCCACCATTTTAAGAATGTTGTAAATAACTCAGATGGCCATTTAACTCAGATGGTAAATATAATTATATATCTGTCTTAAATTTATATCTTGGTTTTAAAGCTATATCTGCATGCTTGTGTCTTAAACCATTTGTAGCAAAAAGGTGAATTAAGATATTTCATTTAAGGAATAAGTTATTCTAGAGCTAAAGGGTAAAGTATGGAGGATGAGACATTTATATGGTTTGGTATTGAACTAATGGAAATGTTCATTTAGTAGTTACTAAAATTATAAACATATGGCTTGTTGGTTAGAAGGTTTAAGGCTTTATGGAGATATTTTGTTTCAATGGTTCATTTCTTAAATGAATAAAAACTTTCTTTTATTCCCTCCTTGCCTCCCTCTCCCCCCACCAGAAAATGTTAGTCTATGATCCTGCTAAACGAATTTCTGGCAAGATGGCACTGAATCATCCCTATTTTAATGATTTGGACAATCAGATTAAGAAGATGTAGCTATGTGACAAAGAGTTTCTATGTGTTGTTTGAACAAATACTTTTACTGTTAACTCTATTTTTTTGTGTATTTTTCTTTGTTGTAAAACTTAAGCTATACTTCATCTTCAAATTTCAAGTGTAACTTAAAAATGTAAATATTGTTCTATATGAATTTAAATATAATCTGTATATGTTTATAGATCTCACTGTAGCAACTATTCATTACTATAATAAAACTATAAATCTAGTATTGATATCAGGAGTCGGGAAAAATTTGAGTTAGTTTAAATCATCTCAAACCTTATAGTGAGTGGTCTGGTAACCTATAGTCGGAAATACTAAAATCTAGGAAAGTGTGCTAGGTTCAAAGTTTTATAATACTTTGAAGTATTTTTATGCCCTGAATGTTTAAATTTTGTCAGTTACTTGCCATGTGGTAACTATATGACCTGCCTAAAGGTGATTATTTTTCTACTGGTATTTCAATTGGTGACCTAAATGTTTAAGCATTCAGAATGAGACATCTATCCAAATTTGAGAAACAATGTCAGATTTATAGAGGTTTTCAGTAACTTGGAGAGTGTGCCAAAGTTTGCTGAGTTTTACAGTCAAAGATCAAGCGCTGTCCACAGCAGGAAAGAACAGTTTAGAAAATTTATGAACTATCCTATTTTTAGATAGGTTATGAAAGATGTTTGTCTAAGCTAATTCTTGTGCTGTGGTCAGAGGTAACCTTACAAAGGAGTTACTTAACTTGGCTTTCAGGTCTGACTTAAAAATTCTGTTTGTAAGTTTTGACATAGATTTGTTTAATTAGCAGCCTTTTAGGAGTTTCTAATGTACAAGTATTTAGGTAAAATCACTAGCTTTGGGAATTGTATAATCAATAATGCTGCTCATTGTGAGCCTAATTTAAAATAACTTGTTACAGCCAAGAGAAATGCCTATAAAAATAGTGTATCGTTAGTGTACGTCTATTCATTATCTAACCACATACCCTCTATTTTCCCTCCTGGTTATCTATGGCTAGAATGGGCATTCCTGTTTTTTGATTATTGATCCTTAGGCTCAATTGATTGGATATGTAATGGGTGATCTACCTAACGTATGTTATCTTGGAATTTTTGCACAAAGTGTGAGTCACTTTCTTTGGCAATGGGACTTCCAGGGTGAGAGGCTTGGTGGCCTTGTTCTAGGTCCTTTAATGGAAGCCAGCCTGCAATAAGAATGCAGAGCCTGAAGGATGAAAGTCATCTGGGGTCATATTGTAGAGAATTATTATGATTTTATGGTGGGAATTTGGTAAATGAAAAGTCACACAGGATTTCACTGAGGTGGACTACAGACTGTGTTTTCTTACATATGAAGTGAAGTGTTAAAGTGGGCCTGTTTTTCAAATTGGATTGCAACCCTTTAGTGGTTCCAGACCTGCATTAATTGCCAGCCTCATTCTGCACACCATATACCCCCCCACACACACTGCCATGTAGAATAGAAAGTATTAGTGTCTTCTGTAATTATTTCTTGGTACTTTTGTTTTAGTAATATGTAGATTATGGGTGTGAAAAATGGGACCTTGTGGATTAGGTAGAAGCAGCATGCAACCTCACTGTCATTGCTATATGGAATTTAATTGAAAAGTCAGTTAGTTAACTTAGAACCTACCTGATGGTCCAAGAAAATGAGATCAGAGAGCACTCAATAGTTGTGATAATGCGGGACCTACTGTTAGTCCTGCTCCACATATTTGTGTAGTCTTAACATGAAGTGTTTATGTCAGCTTCAAAGATTTGGTGAAAAGCTACTTTACTGGGTCCATATCTCATGCATATTTTAAACTGATTATTTTAGAAGCTTGTCTCTAGGCTAGTAGTTCTTAATCTGCTAGAAACACCTGAGGTTAACTTTGGACCTACCCTGAACATTTCAGAAATTGAAAACTGAGAAATATATCCCAGGAAACTATTTTTTCAAAAGTTCTCCAAGCTGATCCTGATGCATCCAGTTCTTACCAGTTAGTGGCGAGTTTAACAACTGGACCTCTGTCTAATTTTAGATGTCCTAAAACTTCATGGCATCATGTAATATCTTTACCTTGTTCTATTTGTGTTCCAGTCTGTACTCTTTAGTGAGGGGAGAAGGCTATGTATTTCATCACTGATGTGACTCATATACTTGAGCATAGCACTGTGACAATTGCTCTATCTTGACATTGTCTTTAGAGGAGGGTTTAAAATTTTTCAATTTAAATGTAAAAGTAATGATGCTGACAAGTTAATACATAATATACAATAAAATCGTAATTTATATGTGGATGTGGCATATGAACTAAATGTTTTGAAAAATATGATAGTATTTTAGAGTTGAGTTCATAAGATGGCCCAACAAAAGGTCTTTTGGGGACTTACAGGCTAAAATAACTTAGTAAACTAATAACTTTTAAAGTGCTTGAGAAGAGTTGAAAGCTCTGTTGGATGGAACAAAGACTTTACATTAGTGCCGATAGCAAACTGCAGTTTATAATAGGTCAACTTTGGTCCCATCCCTATTTATTTTCCATATTCAAACCAGAGTCAGTTTGGTTCTCAGGTTCTGCAGAACCATAGGATCATTTTCCATTTTGGGCAGAGCAGAGACAATTAGTGATGCTTGTGGAGTGAAGAGACTAGTGGGCATTGTTTAAAATAGGTTTGGGACAAGATGGGTAGTGTATTGAATGACTAAAGGAAAAGCAAAGAATGGAAGGATAAAGACCCTGTAGAGGGGGAGGTATTTCCGACTTGAAAATAGCCTCTAGCACATATATGGTCAATTAATATACCATTAAGAAGCCATGAATATGCAATGGGGAAACGACAGCCTCTTCAATAATTGGTGTTGGGAAAACTGGACAGCTGCATGCAAGAGAATGAAACTGAATTACAGTCTCCATAAACAAAAGTAAACTCATAAAGGATTAAAGACCTGAATGTAAGACATGAAACCATAGAACTCTTAGAAGAAAACAGGCAAAAATCTCTTGAACATAAGCATTAGTAATTTTTTTTTTGGACCCATTTCCCCAGTCAAGAGAAACAAAAGAACAAGTGGGACTACATCAAACCAAAAAAACAACCTGATTAAAAAGTTGGAGGACCTGAACAAACACTTCTCCAAAGAAGAAATGCAGGTGGCCAGTAGTCACATGAAAAGATGCTCCACATGGCCAATCATCAGGGAAATACAAATCTAAACCACAATGAAATATCACCCTCACATCAGAAGGGCCAGTATCCAAAAGACAAGAAAATGTTTTGGTGAGGACATGGAGAAATGTGAATCCTCCAACACTGTTGGTGGGGATGTAAATTGGTACAGCCAGTGTGGAAACCAGTATGGAGGTGCTTCAAAAAACTAGAAAGAGAAATAACATATGACCCAGTAATTCCACTTCTAGGAATTTACCCGAAGAAAACAATTCCTGATTTGAAAAGATACACACCCCTTTGTTTATTGCTGCTTTATCTATAGTAGCCAAGTTATAGAAGCAACTTAAGTGTCCATCAATACAAGAATGGATAAAGAGGTGGTACATATAATACACAATGGAATATTACTCAGCCATAAAAAAATCCTGCCATTTGCAACAACATGAATGGACCTAGATGATATGCTAAGTGAAATAAGCCAGGTGGAGAAAGACAAATACCATACGATTTCGCTTACAGAATCTAAAAATGAACAAAATAGCAGTAGACTCAGACACTGAGAAGTGGCCAGTGGTTACCATGGAGCAGAGGTTAGGGTAAGGGGACTAAAGGGGGGCACAAAAATTCTCAATATAAGTTGGTCAGTGGGATAGCACAGCACAGAATACAGCCAATGACTGTAACATCTTCCTATGTTGATACAGTAACTGCACTGGTAGGGTGAGGATTTAGTAATATGGGTAACTGCTGAGTCACTATATTGCATTTCTGAAACCAATGTAAGATTGTATGTCAATGATACTGTAATAAAAAATAGCATTTAGGAGAAAGCAAAGGTGGGATAGAAGTGATATTGACAAAAGTTATGACTTTTCTCCACATTTGGAGAAAGTGGAGTATTTGGAAGCAAGAGTTGACACTTTCAGTCTCATGCCATAATGTAAATACCAAGTTTCTGAAGTAAGAAGCTTCAGAAGAAATGTATTGAGTGATAGACTTGGTTGTTTAAGAGGAAAGGGTGTTTTCACAGTAACATCATTCCCTTAGAATACTGAGGTCTGATTTTCAAACTTGAATTCGGTCCTCCTCGAGGGACTGCTAAAGCAGATTTCTGGTACATCCCCAGGTGTTGATTCAGTAGGTCCTGTGTGGCCATGATTATATATGCTCTCTTACGAAGTTCCAGGTGCTGATGCTCTCGGTCTAGGGACACTTTGAGAATCACTACCTGGATAGTTCTCAGAATTCTGGAGAACTAAACAGAAGCTCATATATTTGGTCAAATTGTTGGGTTTGTAGAGGAAGCACAGAGATGCAGAAGGAGAGATTCACCTAAAACCAGGCATACAGTTAGAGGTTGAACTAGAATTCGAACCTAAATTTTCCAGTGTCATTGTTGAAAGTGAATAGTGTAAGTATAAAGATTCTAGGCTCTAATTAGCGTTGCCATTTCTGTCTAGCCTTGAACAAGTTATTCAGTGTCTCTGACTACACTTCAGTTGTACATTGGAGATAATGAATAGAACATTATTTACATAAATACAAGTCAATATATATATATATGTAATGTATTTATATAAATAAGATTGTAGGATTGTTGTAAGAGATGGAGATGGTGTTGCCAGGTATCCTACCTACATAGCACATAGCCTGTTTTTGCCTGGATGCCCTAAATGTCCTTTTCTCAGTACATTACAAAAATTGGGTAAAGCTATTTTTCTTCCATAGCAATTGGTCCTTAAATCCATTAAATGGGAACACTAGATGGAGAATATAGGTAAAGTTCCTGGCATATGCTACTTTCTTTCTCTTTTTAACTCACACTTTTCCCTCGTATTTCCTCTCCCCTACTGGAGCTAGCTGAGCTGAGTAAGTGATGACTAGGAAAGGTTCCTGAGAGCATGTCTCCTGGCTCTGGTGCTAAGGCTCTGGTACCTGCAGTGCTGCCCTAAAGTTTGTGAGCCTACCTGGTGTTCCTCATAGGTATAGGAATTGTGTTATTTTTTTGTTTTGCTTAATCTAGTTTGAGTTGGGGTTCTGTCATTTAAATCTCAGAGCT